ATGGTTTGGCCCAATGTCCAGATCATTGCCTTCTATAAGATAATTCTGGTTGCCCTGCTATAGGAGAGATGTTACTAAACAGGAAAGGGTGCAAAAAAGATTTACAAGGATGTTACCAAGGCTAGAAGATTTCAGTTAAAAACGGCAGCTGGATAGGCTAGGACGTTTTTCCCTGGAGCGTAGAAGACTGAGTGGTGACAGGCTTACAAAAACTGAAGGGGCATAGATAAGGTGAATAGTCAAGGTCATTTCTCCAGTGTCAGGCAGTTCAAAACTATAGGGCATAGGTTTAAGGTGAGAGGGAAAAGATTTAAAAGAGACCTGGGGTGCAACTTTTTCACACAGCAGGTGGTGTGTATATGGAACAGCTGCTAGAAGAAGTGGCAGAGGCAGGTATGATTACAACATTTGCAAGACATTTGGATATGTAGCATGGATAGGAAAGGTTTAGAGGGATATGGGCCAAATGCAAGCAAATGGGGCCTGTTCGGTTTAAGAAACCTGGTCTGCATGAATAAGTTGGGCCGAAGGGGCAAATTATTGGAAAGGGCTCTGAGAGATAGGATTTATGATCACTTGGAAAGGCACAGTTTGATTTGTGATAGTCAGCATGGATTTGTGAGGGTTAGATCATGCGTCACAAACCTTATTGAATTCTTTGAAGAGGTGACCAAACATGTGGATGAAGGTAGAGCAGTGGATGTGGTATACATGGATTTAAATAAGGTGCTTGATAAGGCTCCCCATGGTCGGCTCATGCAGAAGGTAAGGAGGCAAGGGATGGGGGGAATTGTGGCAGATTGGATTCAGAATTGGCTGACCCTTAGAAAACAAAGGGTGGTAGTGGATGGAAAATATTCAACGTGGTGCTCAGTTATGAGTGGTGTATCACAAGGATCTGTTCTGGGTCCTCTTCTATTTGTGATTTTTTTGTAAATGATTTGGATGAAGGAGTGGAAGGGTGGATTAGTAAGTTTGTGGACGATACAAAGGTGGGTTGAATTGTGGATAGTGCGAAGGGCTGTTCTAGGTTACAAAGGGACATTGATAGGATGCAGAGCTGGGCTGAGAAGGGGCAGATGGAGTTTAACCCTGAAAAGTGTGAGGTGATTCATTTTGGAAGGACAAAAGTGAAAGCAGAATACAGGGTTAATGGCAATGTGGAGGAGCAGAGGGATCTTGGGGTTCATGTCCACAGTTCCCTGAAAGCTGCCACCCAGGTGGATAGAGTTGTTAAAAAGGCATATGGTGTGTTAGCTTTCATTAATGGAGGGATTGAGTCCAAGAGCCATGAAGTTGTGTTCCAGCTACACAAAAGCCTGGTTCGGCCACATCTGGAGTATTGTGTCCAGTTCTGGTCGCCTCATTACAGAAAAGATGTGGAAGCATTGGGAAAGATGCAAAGGAGATTTACCAGGTTGTTGCCTGGAATGGAGGGAAGGTCTTACGAGGAAAGGTTGAGAGAGCTAGGGCTTTTCTCTTTAGAATGATGAAGGATGAGAGGTGACTTGATAGAGGCGTACAAAATGATCAGAGGTATAGATAGAGTGGACAGCCAGAGACTTTTTCCTCGGGTGGAGGTAACTATTACGAGGGGGCATAGTTTTAAAGTGAGCGGAGATAGATATAGAGGAGACGTCAGAGGTAGGTTCTTTATTCAGAGAGTGGTGGGGACGTGGAATGCATTGCCGGAGAGGGTAGTGGAGTCGGCCTCATTAGGGGCATTTAAGTGGCTATTAGATAGGCATATGGATGATAGTATAAGGTAGGGGTGGACGTTAGATAGACCTTAGGATTAGGGTAAAAGTTCGGCACAACATCGTGGGCCAAAGGGCTTGTACTATGCTGTAATGTTCTCTGTTCTATGTTCATGCTGTATGACTGATGACTATAATAAATTTCCCAGCTGTTATTTCCTCTCTATGGAGCCATGATGATTGCTTCATTAGGGCATTTAGAAATCTGCTACTATATCCTTTTATAATAAAGTCTAGCATTTTCCTGATGATAGACATTAAGCTAGCTGGCCTACCTGTTTATGACTCTCCCAGTTTTTGAATAAGGGTGTTAAATTGGCAGTTTCCTAATCCTTTGGGACTTTTTTTGAAATCTAATCATTCAGGAAGACTATGACCAATGTTTCCATTACCTTTGTAGCTACTTTCTTTAACATTCATGGATGTAACCTATTAGGTCCAGTGGACTTAGTAACCTATGACCACGTTAGCCACCCTAGTGTTTTTTCTTCAGTGACAGTTATTATGCTTATTTCCTCCCTTCCCCTCTTAGCTTCTTGGTTATTTAATACATTTGTAATGCTATTAATGACCTCAACTGATGCAAAGTATTCTGCCATTTCCTGGCTCTCCATTGGTATTTTCCCAGTGTCATTCTTTTGTTGGCTTTTAAATCTTTCCCAATCTTCCAATTTACCACTAATCTTTGCCACATTGCATGTTTTTTTCTTCTTTTAATTTAACACCATTCTTAACTTACCTGGTTAACTATGGTATAATTTTTGCCATATCCAGTACTTGCGTTCCTATACTATTGACCCTTTCACAAAGCATATTGACACTTGCTCTGGTCAATTTTGGCTAATAACAAAGTTATCAGTTTTCTGAGGACAAATTATTTCAATTTTATTGACAGTTTGGTAATATTGATGTCTTCCGTGAGATTGACTCACAAATACACATGATAAGACAAATGCTTTCACTCTGTCAATCACTTCATGTAAACATATCTGGCAAGATACCAGATGGATATTATTATAGCTTGAAAGTACTTCTCACATTTAGATTGGGGAACACAGTACTTTGGAGCTGCTTTAGTGTTGGCTATTGTCATAGGCCATTGCTTTGACATGACTTGACAAATCAATTGAAAGCTGGGCTTTTCATTTGCTTAAGGTTACACCTTTCCACAAGTCTTGCTACTTTTGGGTGTTCCATTGTTTGTGTCAATGGCCAAGTTTTACTACAAACTTTATTGACCTCCAAGGACAACTCTGCTCTTCTTTCCAAATATTAATAGTTCTTTAATACCAAAAGTCTTCAGTTGATCTGGAAATTCTTTCAGGAAAGCTTCCTTCAAGGATCACCAATACGTTTGTTTACTAGTTCTCCAAATGAAAATCACAGACTGAGCCTTTTTCACTGCATCTGATCACTAAGCGGTTTATGGGTTCTCTAGCTTTCTGTCTAAAAGACATGAATTATCATTGAATATAGAAATTTAATCCAACTCTGAACTGGTCTTTTATTGTGATCTTTGGCATCTTTTAGCTCTTAAGCTGCTTATTCTGACATGTTATGTCTCAGTGGACCTCTGCTCCCAATTGCTATGCAAATCATAATGGCTAGATTTTCTGTATTAGATATACTCAAAAACATAGTTATGAAAGCATTCTGTTTGGAGATCTGTTGTATCTCAATTTACAGTGGAGAACTTTCAGAATATCCTAACAGTACACTTTTGACCTTCCCTTACTTGCTATTGGTCTTGCATAAAAAATATTCACTTGCCTATCTCAAGTGAGATAAGCTGGCCTCTCAATAAGAATTTTTCTGCTACCCAGCAAGCTGTGTTTTCAACACACTTCAACACTAATGAACAAAAACTTTGGGGCGGTACAGTGGTTAGCACTGCTGCCTCACAGCACCAGGAACCTGGGTTCGATTCCACCCTTGGGTGACTGTCTGTGTGGAGTTTGCACATCCTCCCCATGTCTGTGTGGATTTCCTCTGGGTGCTCTGGTTTCCTCCCACAATCCAAAGATGTGCAGGCTGGGTGCGTTGGCCATGCTAAATTGCTCATAGTGTTCAGGAATATGTAGATTAGGTGGGTTTATAGGGGGATGGGTCTGGGTGGGATGCTCCGAGGTTCGGTGTGGACTTGTCGGGCCGAAGGGCCTGTTTCCAGACTGTAGGGATTCTATGATTTGGGGGTTGACTCATGCATATTTTACTATTGTTGACCATTGTTTCTCCTGTAGGTTATCTTGCTTTTTGGCTGGTCAAGCATGATCTAGCTCATCAGGATAATGTTCTCCATAGCTGTTCAATGTGTCATATATTGATAATTAATAACTATAATTAATAGTTCTCCAGACTTATTCCCAGGGTGCTGGGACTTTATTATGAAGAAAGATTGGGAAAGTGGGCCTGTATTCTCTTGAATGTTGAAGAATGAGAGGTGATCATATTGAAATCTGTAAAATACCTAAAGGGATTGACAGGTATATAAAGGTAAGATGTTTCCCCTGATTGGGGAGTCTAGAACCAAGAGGCATAATTTAAAAATAAGGGGAATACCACTTGGTTCTGAGATGAGAAAAGCATTTTTTTACTCAAGGGTTGTGAACTTTTGAAATTTTTTACCACAAAGTGTTCTGGAAGCTTAGTCTTTTGAGTATGTTTAAGGTGGAGATTGATAGATTTCTGATTACCAGTAACGTACAGGATTGTGGTGATGGGGGGAGTTAAAGGTATTGAAGTGTTCGATCAGCCATTATCCGTATTGAATGATGGGGCAAACTTAAGGTTACAAATGGGCACTGTGATAACCAAAATTTTTCACATTGGCTGGTGTTGCTTTTGCCCACTTCCTTTATTTGGCTATGCTGCTCTGTACTTGGGTGAATAAAGTCGCTTTCAGTTGGTGTTAATTTGATTTAGTTTTTGAAAAGTTTTTGAGAAGGCGTATGCGCTAATAATGAAAATGCAGTTAAAAGACTGAAGAAACACAGGTCACAACAAGCCAGCCAAATTAATTGAAAGACCGGGAAAGAATGAAAGATGACTGCCAAAATGATAGGGCTGTACCAGTTATCAAATGTCGAAAACATCTTCAGAATGCAGTTAACATGCAGATCACAAAACCTTGTCTCCATCCAGTCTACTCACTGGAATACCTCAAGAAAATAGTCACATGAGAGAAAGAGCAAGCGAGTGAGCGAGCAGGAGTTTAAATGTTTGGATGTGTTCAACAAAGGAAACAGAAAACAAAGCAGACTCGAAAAACTAGAATTTCTACTGAACTTCAAACAAATTCTATTCCTTAAAGTACATATTTGTGGTTTTGGGTACTTATCGAGTTAAACATTGGTATCCGGTCTCGGAGAGTGCTTTGGGGCTTTCATTTCTCCCCGTGGGATTTCTCGGCGTGCAGGTTAAAACATCCATTCGCAAATCTACTGAACATACCACAGTGAAAGCTTCTCGTCGATGTCTCCCCCGCTCTGATCAGCACGTAGGTATCGCGTTCATATCATTTGGGTGGTCCTTCAATTATTTGACGGTAAGAACTTGCTACAACATGAAATTTGAGACATCTGCAATCATCTGCCTTCAGATTTGTGTTAATGCTGTCAGTTAAATAGTCGAGGAGTTTCAAAACTTTTGAACTGTGACATTATCTTGTCTGCTATTATTGGAGCCAGTCTGCTGTGAATGCTGCAAGGAAGGATTTAAAACATGTCTTGCAGAGGTAGGTATGATTGTAGATAAAGACTACACCAACATTAGCAAAGCTCTACCTTTGCAATTAACAGTACTGATTATTGGAAGACTAAATCATTTCTATTTGTCAATCATATTAATCTTAAGTAATTATAGCAAATCATTTAGGTTTGATGTTATTTGAAAAATCATGATGGACTTGCAAAATTTGAAAGCAGCTCTCATGTGCCCTGGGTGGGAGATAGAGTAGGCAGAAATGGGCACAACACAGCATCCTGAACATATTTTTCTTGAAGTAGTGTAATTCTTCAGGTCGTGTAATTTGTTGTTTATATAGTGCACTTTTGCTTAAGTGTAACAAAGGTTGTTTGTAGAAAATGAATTTTGTTTCCACTCTAGGATCTTCATGCTATTCATCCTGTGTTCACTGGCATGCACTAGTTCTCAGTCTAGTAGTGTTACTTGTGTTTAGATGCCTCCATGGTCTCATGTCTCCAATTCCCTGTCATCCCTACAACCCTGATTCTGAGAACTCTGCGTACCAACATGACAGTGGCCTTCTGTATTCCTTACTTTTATTTTCTTTGCACCATTGCCTGCACCTTGAGCTGGCTAATCCCTAAGGTTTGGAATTTACTCACTAAACCTCCCCAGTTTCGTGCTTCTTGATCCTCTTTTAAAATTGTCTAAAACACTTCGATCTAACTTTTTGATGTCCCACTTTCATGTTGCTAATATAAATCCCATTAATGTGCAGTACTAGGAACTGTGAGTGTGAACGTGTTAAGTGAGTGTGACCTCGGGAGAAAAAAGCTAGCATAGAGACCTTGCAAAGCTGATGCCTTCTAATATATTACTAAAGCTTTCACGATTTGAAATTCCAGTATTTAGTGAATGGGAAATGCTGTCATCAATTTAAAGAAGATAAGGCCATGATTCTCTGTTGAAAAGTTGCAGTCATCCAATAGTTAGTTGTTTTTTCTCTCTTCTACAATGTAGTGAGATGGCATTTGGTCGAATTATGACTGTCGAGCGCACTACCTAATTAGGAGAGCCATTTTAGATTGCTCATTCATTGTCTAAATCTACTCACAAAGACTTTTTATAAAATCTCTTACGGTAAAATCATACTTATTTTTGATACTTAAAAATAAGTTTTGATGAACTTTCCATAGATGCACTGATATCTTGATACTATCATATTTATGTCCAAAGTAAATCTTCCCAATTTCTCTCACTGTTTTTATATAGCAGGCTAATTTGAATTTCTCTTGAAAACTGATACTCAAGTTAGTGAAAAGCAACTTGATAAAGGCACTCTAACAGTTGGCTGCAGTCTTTTTCGGATTAATGAGCAGCTTGTAAATTTACGAACAAACAGTGCAAAGAGGAGCTACCTGTTGCTGAATTCCAGAGCTATCAATTGACCTGAATGCAGAGTTAGAGGTCTAAATAAAATCCATTGTAAAATCTCCTGAGTGACTTTGGCTAGTGCCTATCCCCACCGGCTTACAAAAACAAAGTTGCTGGCAAAGCTCAGCAAGTCTGGCAGCACCTGTGAAACAAAAAAACAGAGTTAACGTTTTGGGTCCGGTCACCCTTCCTCAGAACTGATGGTGGCTGGGACCAGCTTATACCTAATTCCCACATTGTCACGGAATTAAATTTTCAGTCATTCTGAATCTGAGTATCTGAGGATTGCCAATGGAAGGTCAGATTTTTAACTAGTGTTGTATATTTTCTAACCTTCAATAGCTTATTGTACTGAGAATGGGCAATGTTGTACAAATTCTGTCAGAGATAGTAGGAACTGCAGATGCTGGAGAACCTGAGATAACAAGGTGTAGAGCTGGATGAACACAGCAGGCCAAGCAGCATCATAGGAGCAGGAAGGCTGACGTTTCGGGCCTAGACCGCTGCTTGTCCTGCTGTGTTCATCCAGCTCTACACTTTGTACAAATTCTGTACAGGTCTTAAAACCTTCGAAAGCAGCTCATGAAATCTTTTCCAATGTGAGTTTTATAGCTTCCAAGGTATGACAAGGCAATGTGTGTAAAAGATCAGCAACCTCTTTTGAAAGAGACACAGTGATCATGAGCAAGGGTTTTGTCCCATTCATCGGTTGTATCTTTGTCACTTGCAAACATGAGGTAACTGCAACTGAGTAACAGTCAAAATGAAATTAACTCACCAATGTTTTAATGATAGTTTTAATGTGCAGTTACCACTGTTTTCAACCTTATTTCTGCATTGTCTTCTTTGTCCTCATAACTCCTGTGTTAATGGTCAAATCATGTAAGTGTCCATTATTTTCTTGTCACAACTGCACTGCTTTGAAATGGGAATCTGAAACCATGTGTTAAGTAGCTGTCAATTACATTCTGCCTGTTTGGTCTGAAAAGACTGATTAAAACATAGAAACAGAGGATAGGAGCAGGAGGAGGCCATTCGGCCCCTCAAACCTGCTCAGCCTTTCTTCATGATCAAGGCTGATCATCCAACTCAGTAACCTAATCCTGCTTTCTCCCCATAACCTTTGATCCCATTCGCCCCGAGTGCTATGTCTAGTCACCTCTTAAATACATTGAATGTTTTGGCATCAACTACTTCCTGTGGTAATGAATTCTACAGGTTCACCACTCTTTGGTGAAGAAAAGTCTCCTCATCGTCGTCCTACGTTGTCCACCCCGAATCTTCATACTGGGACCCCTGCCTCTGGACACACCCACCATCAGGAATATCATCCCTGCATCTACCCTGTCCAGTCCTGTTAGAATTTTATAAGTCTCTATGAGATCCCCCCTCATTCGTCTGAACTCTAGTGAAAACAATCCCGACCTAGTCAATTTCTCCTCATACGGAAGCGGGATATGTAGGAGTGAAATTGGGCTCAGAAACAACCATTTTCTGGCTGCCATAAAGGGTCTTCTTTAGGTTTCAAACTGTTATCTGAGGTGCATAACACTCAAATGTGATATTGATAATGCCTGAGGTATAATTTTCCAGAAGCAGACAGATCATAATGTGCCAGTGTTGCCGTTTTCACCTCCGTATCCTGCCTTTGAACTTGTTTAACCCCAAACATATTCAGCAGCAGATAGCAATGTCCTGACTGGTGCTTTTTATGGGGACTATTCATTCTACAGGCTACTCATTGCTTTATTTTCAATGGCTGTCCTTACAAATCTATCTATTTGGAGTGCTTTCTGTAACTGTTTAAATTTTCAAAAATCCACATAGGTGGTTATCTGGCATTTGCTGTGTACTTTGGCTACAACTGAAGTAAGCATCAATCTTTGAGACATGTGTCTCCCATCTGAAGCTGAATCGGAAATTCTGCAATCTTGGCATCATTGACCCTGGGATAGCATTGTAGAGTTTTGGTTTACAATCAGTAAATTTGCCGATTTTAGGTGGTTCAAATCACCCCCAAGTTCTAGACACTGGACTTATTTAGGGAATATGAAATGAAGAAGGCAGTAGACAGGTGTTTCAGGGCAAAAGAATCTCTGTGTTTATTTAAATACAAAAGGTAAGTATAATACAAGAAATAAAGGTAAATGCAATAAAAAGTGAAATTAACATGATCAATTATACAGTGGACATTAATTAAATATTAGATTACACACAGCTTAAACACTATTAGAACCTGAACAATAGTTTGATTTGCAGAAACTTTAACCTGACTTCCTAACATTGGAGTCCAATGCACTGCCACTACCCGCTTTCCCCTCCCTGCTAGCTAGGTCAGAATCTTTTGGGAATTTAAGCTTGCCAATGAGGAAAACATAATTTTGAAATATAGCTGGCTGTTCCCGCTTGCCATACCCAATGCCTGAATGGAGACTTTTTGGACTGGGTAGGCCTTTAGTCTGGATTGAGCGTGCTGATGCGTTAGGGTGTGTAGTGGACCTATCGGGTGCGTACATGGTTTTCCTTACTTTCTGGTTGTTTTGTGGGCCCGGTTTTCTGAGGCCTTGTGGTGTTGGTCAGGTCGGTGGTTTTAGGAGTTTGTCAGTTCTTAGGTCTGCTGGTCGTGATTGTTTGCTGTTGGTTTCCCTCGTTCTGAACAGTCCTGTGTCGGTAGCTCTTGGAATTGCTGTTAGGATCCCCATTTTGGAGATTGCTCTTGGAAATAGCTGCTAGAATTAGCTGTTGGTTCCTCAGAATATTTCTGGGGATTGCTCTTTGGAAGCTTCCGGGGAACGCTGCCTTTGGAAGCTCTCTGGGTAAGCACCTTGGAACCTGTCTTGGGATAACAGTGGGGATCACTGCCGGGGAATAGCTGCTTCAGGTGAAATTGGGCTCTGCAGTTATACTGATTGTAGGTCCCTTATCTTTGCGCCATATCTGTGCTTGCCATTGTGTTTCTGATTTTCTCTTTGAGGTCAATTGTCTTCCTGATAGTTAAGAGTATGTGTGAATGTATTTTGATTGAAGTTGAATTTCTAATATCTATGTGAATGGATTTTGTTTGAATTTGAATGTTCAGTAACTTTGCAGGTCTCATAGTTTCTTTGCTGGACAGCCCGAGGTGTAAAAGTTAGTTACAGTCCTGAGTGTTAGGTTTGGTTGATTGTTCTGTTAGAGTGGAGGTGTCAGTTAGAATTCTAGGCCGACAATAATAGTCCCAGACTGAAATCATTCTGGCCTTGTGTATATTTGTTGAAGCCTGAGATCAGGCTTTTGTCCAGTATTTTAGATGTTAGAAAAGTCTGAGGTCTTGTCCAATATTTTAGATGATGGGTATTTTTTGCTCAATCCTACACCATTTGTCCATAGTATTACTTG